TAACAGCACACAACGAAAGAAAATAGGGGAGGGAAGGGTGGGACTTTGGAAGAAAGTATGCAAGTGTTGCTCCTGACTGACTTCGGTAGAATAACCTAACCTTGACACTCGCGTCTTTTATACGCAGCATCAGAGTAAAATTCCCAAATGTAGCAACTTCTCCCCGTGATATTTGGTTGTATGCGTTACGTCATCATTTCATTAGCTATAGTAAATCTAACTATATATATATATATTAGGGAAAGCAATAAAATTACTATTCGATGAACAAATAGTTCCTTTATCGCTTCCCCCTAAATGGACAATACTACCCAGTCCCCTTAGCGGCAATTTTGCAGTACTGACGAGCTCCGTTTTCTGTGGATACAAAACAATAAGACTATTACACCCATTTGGGAAAATAATGGCTATGTGCGTGAGCACATGCCGATTTATTAATTAATCCAAAATGAATATTAATTTCCATAAATGACAATAACAGTTCTCACAGAAAAGGTGGGGGCATTCTCCCGCCACAAGCATCCTTGGGTTGGAGGCACCCCCACCCGAGCAGAACTGCAAAGAGCCAAACTAAACCCAACAAAGTAGGTGGTAAATCAACTGATAACGCTATCGAAATGCACATTTTAATAAATTGTGTTTACTTGCAATGCCAATTTAGTAAAAGTAAGGAACTGAACCGACCGTATACGCCTTGCCCCTGCGTCAGCAAAACGGCATGGAAACAGAACCTTACCCCTAACGCGGATCAAATAGAAATGTGCGACTTAAAACCTGGAAAATAATACTTCGGCTACTTGGTCAACTATGCAGCCATATCGATCCCCATTCACATAAGATTAACTTCTCAAACTACTCGTAGTTATGTTTGACATGCGAATGTACTTTCGGAATGCGTCAGATTTCCAACGCCCCATAACGCGAATCTGCGTATCTGAAAAACCACAGTCCGCGGCGAAAGTGGCAGCACCAATACGAAAGCTGTGACCTTTATATTTAGAGGAATCAAGGCCACAGCTACGGAAAACTAATGACAAAAATTCAGAAAAAGTTTTACGAGAGACAGCATGTCCATCTAATGTTTTAAAAAGTGGGCCATCAGAGAGCCCCCGATGCGAAAAATAATCCAGAAGGCTCTGCACCGGGCATATGTCCGTACGACGAGATAGTGTAATTGCAATACTCGGATGGTTATAGGAATGCTTAAAATCAACGAATTTAATCTTAAGGCCAACGATAGCGCCAGACGGATCCTCAAGCTTGACCACCTGTTTTACTTGAAGAACCGCTGGAGACCGGGGACAGTAAGTAATTTCCCCAACCCTTAAAAATGCAAAAAATGCCGTTGTACACATGGCCTTAAATAGAAAGGCATTGTAGACATTAGAACACAAAGATGGGATGACTTCGTTGATATTCAGAAGTATAGGTAATGTAATAGGAAGGCGGCTGTCAATGCGCAGACCCATTTTCCTGTAACCTTTCAACATTTCCATAACCCAAAACACCTTAGAAGGGTCAGGGAGCCCCATCAAACGATGACAATAGCCAAGTGCAGAGACATAGGTATTAGTAGTGGAGACCGCGTACTGATGTTGAAACATATAAGCAATAAACAAGCCTAGATTTGAGGGTGACAATGGCAACGAAATTGTTGCTGTGTTCATCACGGAATGGGAAAACTGAGAATAAAGTTTCCATGCACGTCGATAAGTAGGGACCGATGATGGCTGCAAACTTGACTGCAATAGATTGGAAGTTATAACTGCCAGTTGTGTGGCAGTAGATGTACTGGAATAATGGTCGGATTTGCCTGCATGCCCGCTGGTGCTATCTGCTTGAATCGGGAAACCTGCAAGCGGGATAACGCGTCAGCTAGACTATTCTTAACCCCTGGGACATGCTGGGCTCGAAAAAGAATATTAAATCGCAAGCATGCCAACACCAGCTGGCGGACAAAAATCATAACTGTTACATCGCGCGACGTTGCCCTATTAATAATATCGACCAATGCTGCATTGTCTGTGAAGAAAATAATACGCTGATTTCGCATCAAATGACCCCACATGAGCACACTCAAAACAATGGGATAAAATTCCAAAATAACAATATTTATATGTTTCCAATGCTCAGGCCATTCACCGAAACACCAAAACTGACCAAATATAGCTCCAAAACCCAAGCTAGCTGCAGAATCGGTATACAAATTTAAATGGACAGAATTAGACCAGAAATCCCCCAGAAAAAACGATCGGCCATTGAAATCATCCAAAAATGATTTCCATATACGCAAATCCGCTTTGACAGATCTACTAAGCCGGATAAAATGAGACGCACACCGTACGTCTTTGGTCAAATCTATAAGGCGACGCAAAAAAGCCCGCCCTGGCACAACAACAGAACAAGCAAAATTAAGAAGGCCAATTAATGACTGTACCTCCTTTAAAGTAGCTTTCTTGCGCTGTAGAAACATCGAAAGGAGGGCTTTGGATTTAGTTATTTTATCCGCTGGTAAACGTGCTTCAAATAATATAGTGTCTAATTCAATACCGGCAAATGTCAAAGTGGTTTGAGGACCGACAGTTTTTTCCGGAGCAATCGGAACACCAAGATACTCGCAAAGTGATAAAAAATTCTTCAAGTCAGTGCAACATTGGTCATATGATGAAGCTGCCATTAGGTAGTCATCAAGAATGTGGATAAGATGCGCAATATTCAAATGTGTCTGGGCAACCCATTGCAGTGCAGTGCTAAACATTTCAAATGTCCGACAGGATGATGCACATCCCATCGGCATGGCACGGTCATAATAGAATTTTCCTTGCCAAAAAATTCCCAGAAGATCATAATCCTGGGGGCATATAGGAATGATACGAAATGCATTTTTGATATCTGTTTTTGCAAGAAAACAACCTTTTCTTAGTTTTTTGATCATAGAAATTGCATCGTCAACTCGACTGTAACACACCACAGTATGCTCAGATGAAATACCGTCGTTGATCGATGCCCCTTGAGGAAATGACAAATGGTGGATTAGACGAAATTCCCCAGGTGTTTTCTTTGGCACAACGCCCAATGGGGAAACTCGAAAATTCTGAAAAGGAGGTTCTTGAAAAGGTCCAGCAATTCTATTAGCTGTTAACTCCTTGTCAAGTTTAGCACTGACTACCTCAGGGTGTTCATAAGCAGATGCAAGATTTTTGGAACAAAAAGAAATACGTTCGCCAGAAAAATGTAGGGGAAAACCCCAGGTAAAACCATTATGTAACAAAGAAACAACATGCACATCATATCCACATAACAAGGGTAGCATTCGTTCAATTAGAACCGGAGTTGGGAGCTCGGGACAAGGCTGCTGGTTTGACACCGAGGGGTTGAAAATTGGCAGTGGCACTGGAGGGACGAAAATTGGAAGTTGAACTGGAGGGACGAAAATTACAGCTGTGTGCAGGATGTTTCTTCCCACCTGTACACTTAAAACAAGCATGCTTAAAAATGCATGGACCAGAGCAACCAAGGCCCTGGTGAAACTTCCGGCAAAACCCTTTAGGTACGAATAGCCCACGCTGACTGAAACTTTGCGATTTTGGTTTTGGCTGAGCAAAATTCTGTGCCCGGATCCATAATTCCCAATGGGTGGATCCCCAGGGCATTTCGTTGGCATGGGTATGCTTCAAATAGCGAAACTGGGTGTCATAAAATTGCCAATTACCTCCCCGAGCAGCCAAATCCCGAACCACTTCACCATACTTCATAAGTGCTGGGGCCTCCAACGGATACTTGCTGGTATAAACCCCAACAAATACTTGAAAAGCAGTCGTCCACACCTCAATATTGTGAATAGCTTTAGCCTTTGTAGTGGGTTCTAAAGCAAGTGTTGGCACTGAACCCTCGGATGTGCCGAGAGAAAGATGATAGCGGGTATCGCCTACTTGGGGGTTTATAAGTAACCCAAAATCTATAAATTCATTGCCCCAAATCTTCGCCTTAATCTTGGGGCTGACCTGGGCATCGATTGGAATAGTAACAGAATTGAAATTGGATATACCTGGTCCAACAGAACTTGCCATGAGGTGTGGACGAATTACTCCCAATTGTACTACCTCACCTGTAAGGTTTTCCATGGCTGCAGCTACTGGCCCCTGCCCTTGAGCGTCAGCCACAGAAATGCCCTGCAGTGGTACCTCCCTCGTGTTAGATTCCAACGGCAATGTCCCAGGATTGTGTTGAGGCATTTGCAAAGACTCCATAACAGCCTGGGTCACTGCAGAAGTAATTCTGGCAATGGTGGAATCCGAAAGGCCCGGAGGAGTCATTCCTGGCACTGTAGGAGTCGTTCCTGGTACTGTAGGAGCCATAGGTACGTCCTCAGGAGGAGTGGCACTCACAGGTGGTGCTAGGCCTGGATCCTGAACAATTGGTTGGTGGCTTCTTGTTGATCTCGGACGAGCAGCCATAGGCTCTGCACGCCGTTGGATGCGGGTACTTGGTCTTGTTCTTGGCATTATTTCTAAAGAGAAACTGCAAACAGGGCAGACTACAAGCCACTGATAGTATCTTGTCACATGATAGGGCAATATATCCCAAGGCACTATTCCACAACAAACACAATTTCAAAGTTTACAACAAACAAACATCTACATCACTACAACTCTATAGTAAACGATTGTTGTTAAATATGGCATACCACAAAGGTAGCCGAACAAAATAACTGGGCCATCTGAAAACAACTTGCCGCGCCGTCCCACATATATTGAATTGAACTATGGGCATTTGAACACCTAGGTCCTATCCCATGTAGGCATATATTTCCATGACCAAGAAACTGTGGCCTAAATTTATGCTAAAAGTGCATAAATTCAAGGACAATACTGTACAGTGGTTTGATTCAAACAGAACGACAGAACAATTAACATTTGTACAAACGCCCCAAGTACACAACATAAACTATATACAGCACAGTACCTCACATCACACTATTTAATATATAAAACAGAAGCCACAAATTCATGAATGTTTCCTTCGCATGAAAATATAATTGCTCAATTCTCAATGTGGTATTTGCAAACAGCAATTGCTCAGCCCAGACACATATTCACACAGACCCTTGGGCCCCGGGAATTACACGATAACTTGATAATCATATCACATTTGTATGATTTGTATTAATGTCGTTTATGACTTTATTGAACATATGCACATTACATTAATTACAATAACCTTGGAAAAATCCAAGTACTGCAAATAAACTGCTTCAGTATAAAAACGCCAGAAATTAAGAAGGCGAAGAGGCAGCTGAAGTAAAAAGTTAATAACGATCGTGCAAGATATTAAGAGCTTTTAAAATTGCTCCTCGATAACTCCTGTATAAGATATACTGTCCTTGAGGGTTGCAGTGAACCCCATCAAGAGACAACAAATCAATTCTACCATTGTCAAATTTACGATGGTCCCAAAGAAATACGCCAGGTTCATTCGCCAAAACGACAGACAAATACTGCCGCAGAATAGAAGCTTTTGCATTAAAAGCATGGTCCGGTGCGTCGGAATGCGGAATGTGCCTATTTATAACTTGGCACACAGCAATGACCTTTATGTTTAACTCGTCAAGCATATAGCGTACGAGATCGTCTATCCGCGAACCGACCACCTCCGGAGAAAGGTTTGCCAAATCGTTCGTCCCTATTTCCAAAATGACGATATCCGGTTTGCAGCTTTTGAGAAAGGAAATATCATACTTAAACACTTTGTCTACAGTTCGACCGCCCGTGCCCTTCAAAGATACGTACACGCCTGAATTGGCCAGGTTAAAATTTTGTTTGGCACGGGAATCAAAACCATTATTTAAATCGTCGTTTAAGCGGCGCACAAAAGAATGGCCAAATACCAAACATTAGGAATGAAACCCGACATATTTCTTGAGGATAAATAAGATAAAAGGAAACACACAATACCTGAAAGAACTTTGGAAGAAAGTATGCAAGTGTTGCTCCTGACTGACTTCGGTAGAATAACCTAACCTTGACACTCGCGCCTTTTATACGCAGCATCAGAGTAAAATTCCCAAATGTAGCAACTTCTCCCCGTGATATTTGGTTGTATGCGTTACGTCATCATTTCATTAGCTACAGTAAATCTAACTATATATATATATTAGGGAAAGCAATAAAATTACTATTCGATGAACAAATAGTTCCTATATACTTTAAAGGCACAGTGCAGCCTTTTGAATGATGGTTTTTAAGGCGCATTTCAGCCCTTTTACTTTTAATTGAAAAAACTAACTAGGAAAATCAATTAAGCATGATTCAAAATCAGCAGCAAACTCAATGTTTTTAACAATAAAAATGTTTTAACATGTTAAAAACATTAAGTTTGCTGATCTTGAATTATGCTTAATTGATCCTAGTTAGTTTTTTTCAATTAAAAGGGCTGGAATGCGCCTTAAAAACCATCGTTCAAAAGGTTGAACTGTGCCTTTAAAAACAACCATGATATCAAAGTAAATAGAATAACACATATACAGTACTGCTCAGAAAGACAGAAAATACCTAACACTGCGTTCGCGCTCCATTTACGATTGGAACGCCAAAATTCAGGAAAATGGGGGCAATTTACGGAGATTGTCGATTTCATCAGGCGCGTATCATGAACGCGTTCCAGTCCGAGCGGAACGCAAATTAGGTTAAACGTTATTTGACCACGCTTAACCCGTACAGCGAAAGCTGATTTCCAAGGGGGACGTAGACTTAATTAAAGAGTTAGAAAAATTACAATTAATACAAATTATAGTCATGCATTACATTACAGTTAACAACAATTACGATACATTTACAAATACAACTATAGTATATAATTATTTACATATTAAATTAATGTTAGTACTATGTAAGATTCTTAATTAACGTAATTAATTAATTATTTAATTAATTGGCCAGGTGTCGTATACATGAAGAATGTTTGTTTCTTGCTTCATCTGAAAGGCTGTTTCACGATTTTGCCCCGCTATAACTAAGATACTATCACAAATCTTTAGAAGTTAATTATAATCCTGACAATCCTCGAACATTTAAAACTATATGCCTGAAATGTAACTCTTTACGAAGTCTTACATATCCGATATCCTGCTGCTTTTAGTAACTAATATTGTTTGTTCGTAGGTTTGTTAGTCTGTCCAGTTGAATGTCTGTTGTTTGTATGATTGTATCCAATTGGGCCCGCAGTAATTGGCAATAAGCTGTTGCGGTGTCCCGGCCACTCTGTGTAATTTTATGCCGGCAAAGTTAATAAATAAAAAAGACTTTTTTTAAGATATTCAGTCTTAGCTTTGGGCAAAAAGAGTTTGGTGGAAGACGTCCTTTGTAGAAGACGTCCTTTTTGTAAGCCATGCAGAGCGAAGGGACTAATACCCAGAACACCGGTAACACTCTCTTCCACTCTCGTAACATAGCGATAAACTTCTCTTTAAATTCTATAACTAGAGATATACCAGTATTAATTTAATCAGTTTTAGAAGTACCTGAAAGCAATTCGCGTTAATTAAATGACACGTTATATCAAAATGCTTTGCACATTTGTAAATCCCAAAACATTTGTGACGTGATATTTTTGCATTTGTATAGGAAATTTCTAGGCATTCCAGCCATGCTGATGAGACAAGATCTCGAGTGGTAAATAGCCAGAAACCAAATAATAATTGGAACCAATTATTAAAGCCTGGTTAACACCAGTCGCAAGAATCTGGGATGCTATTATTTGAGATTCCAATAGACAAAGGATTTTATTCATGAATAATCAACGACAATATGCATCGCCGATTCGGCAACTTTTGACATTTTGGGCAACTTTTGACATTTCGGGCAACTTTTGTGATTTTTGTCCTTTTCTGGCAGGGTTTTGTCTTTTTAGCAGTTATTTTTAGTTCTAGCAATTCCAGGTCAGGTATAACTGCAAAATTTATTTATTCTAATCACTAACCATCTGCAAAATATAGCCCGATGACATGAAGTACATGCATGCTGTTTCATTTCATTCGTTTATAACTGCATGTCATTGGGCTATGAGCCGTGTCAGCAGTCTCGCGCTTTAAATGAACGGTTATAGACCCATGTCTCGCTATCAGTTATGAATACTAACCCTAATCCTCACCCTAACTCATAAACAGCGAGACATAAATCTATATCCAAATGAACCACTAAAACTAGCAGTGATACAAAGACAAAACCAGTGATAAAGACAAAACCCGTTGACTGATTAAGTAGCAAGATGATGTGAACATATTGCCCGATGATAACGAAGGACGATGTAAATGTTTTTTGACATGATCCACTCTTCATATGCAAGTATCGAAGGAGCATTAGAATAAACCAGCTGTCGGATAAAAAACAGAGTCATCAGAAGGTCCATTACTTTTCTTGCTTTATATTTACGATATTGAAAATTGCTCTAAGAAATTTAAATTTTATGTATTTGCTGATGATACAAATCTACTCAATTCGGAAAAAGACCTTAAATCTCTTGAAAAAAATTGTTAATGAAGAACTTTGCCATTTATATGACTGGCTTAGTTCAAATAAACTAAGTCTTAACTTAAAAAAGTCTAATTTTGTTATTTTTCATCCGTATCAAAAGAAATTAGTATATCAGCCTATTATCAAAATGTATAATAACGAATTGAATGGATATACAGAGCTTAATTGTGAAGATTATATTAAATATCTAGGGGTTTTAATGGACAAGAATCTCTCATGGAAATATCATGTAGAACATGTTCTAAGTAAAATAAGTAAAACTGTAGGCATGATTTCAAAATTAAGACACTTTGTACCTAAACATACTTTACTTAGTATCTAGAAATCGCTGATAGGTCCATATCTCTCCTATTGTCTTGTTATCTGGGGTCAGACAAGCTAGTCAAATTGGAGTGCTATTTTAGTTTTGCAAAAACGTGTTCTTCGTTTTATCCATTTTTTAGATAAACGAGAACACACAATACCCTTTTTTGTTGCTACAAATATTTTACCAGTAAATATCTTATTCTATGAAAATGTACGTACATTGATGCATGATGTTAAAAATAGAGCTGCACCAGTCAACATTCTCAATCTTTTTCAGAATACGTCAGATATTCATTCTTATAATACACGTTCTTCAAAATCAAATAATTTTTACATTAAACAATCGAAACTAGAAATTCAACGAAAGTCTTTTTCTCATGTTGGAGTAAAATGGTGGAATGAGGTACCATCTTGCATAAGAGAATTGCCAAAAAGAGCATTTAAGAAAAGGATACGTAGTATCCTTTTGGACATTTTACAGAATGAAAATACTTATCCGGACATAGAGTCGCTCAGCTGTAAAATTAAGAAACGATCACGCATCAACTGGGACTGGGATTCACCAACAACAAAAAAAGAATTCAACAATTTGAAGCCTCAAATTGAAGCATTATTATTATTATAATTAAACTCCTACTTTTTTCCCTGTTCTTGATATACAGTATATTATTTATTTCCTTTCTAAAAACGTTAAGTTTATTAATATGTAATTTCATTGAAAATTATTTCATATTATGCATATATACTTTGCTATATAAATAATGGCTTTGTACATTAATATTTCTTACTTTTGTGTGTTACTATAGACAAGTCCGCCTCGACTAGCTTTGTAGTTATTAGCGGCCTTGTCTTATTGTTTGTATTTAAAATCATATCTATTGAACAGGAAACAGAGAGTTGATCTGGATAACAATTTTTCTGAAGACTGCGATGTTAAGTACGGAGTGCCTCAAGGGAGTTGTCTTGGCCCCATACTTTTTCTGCTTTATGTATCCCAACTATATGAAATTATTGACAGGCACTTACCCTCTTCTCATGGATATGCTGATGACACGCAACTTTATGTATCCTTTCGCCCAGATTGTGAAGATAATTCAGAAAGTACCCTAGCCGCACTGGAAGATTGTATTTCTGATGTTCGTACTTGGCTGTTGTCTCATAAATTAATGTTCAAAGATTCGAAAACGGAATTTCTTGTAATTGGTACACCACAACAACTTTTGAAAATAAACAATGAATCCGTTAACGTTGGTGGGGTCCAAATTAAGCCGTTGACAGTGTTCGAAACTTGGGATCTTGGTTTGACAAGCATATGTCAATGTCAGTTCATGTAGGCAAGATGTGCAGTAAAGCATTCAGAGGACTTTATAAAATACGACAAATTAGAAAATTTTTATCTACTAATACAACGAAAACTTTGATACATGCTTTCGTGACATCACACGTGGACTATTGTAATGCTCTGTTGGCTGGCATACCTCAGTATCAAGTCCAGCGAATTCAGAGAGTTCTTAATGCCGCTGCTAGACTAATCTACCACTGTCCAAGATTTTCTCACATCACCCCAGTTTTGATATCACTTCACTGGCTACCGGTAAAATTCCGGGTGGAATTCAAAATTGCTTTACTGGTTTACAAGGCTCTTAATAACATTGCCCCTATCTACATCTCCAAAATGCTTATCCCAAAACAATCAAGTGATCGCTGGACATTACGATCGGATGGTCAAGGTCTATTATACATCCCGAAAACAAACTGTAAGACTCTAGGAGATCGGACTTTCGCACATGCTGCTCCACAATTATGGAATTCTCTGCCTCTGGATGTCAGGAACTGTGAAAATATTTCTGTGTTTAAGAAACGCTTGAAAACATTTCTT